AAGGAGGGAGCGCAGAGATGGCTGGAGGGGTAGGACTTCACAGGTGGTGGCCGCGCCCCCCCAAGGTAGAGAAGCGGGTAGGGGTGTAAGGGCAGGATCAGTTCCACTACCCCCCTCCTCCCCCGCCCCAGGTACAAACGATACTGGTAAAATAAGTTGAAAATCAGTGGGGAAAGGGCCTTCCTAGTTGCCAACTTGCGACCCCGAGGTGTTGGGGTGACCCTGAAGTGAGCGAGCCCGGGCTCCGTCTGTCCTGGCGGGCGCAGGGCCCTGCCCGAGCTCGGCCCTGGGTGCAGGAGGGCGTACAGAAGGCGCCGCCAGGAGCTGCCTCTCCCCTTGGCTTGGACAAGAAGTGCTGACCGTGGGCTCCTGGCGCCACAGCTCTTGCCTCCTGTGAGGAGAGGCCGCAGCAGTCACCAGAAAATGGATGAGGCAGAGCACCCCCAGCTGCAGCAGGGGAAACCAGGGAGCAGGAGAGACGAAGAAAATAGTTTACTTCATGGAATTTCATAAAAATACGTTCAGGCAGCTACCTCCCCCAGCCCCATGCCCAGGCCTCAGTGCCCAAACCCTGTGGGTGTCCGAGTGCCCTCTGGCCACAGCCAGGACCTTCATGATCAGCAGCCAGGAGCAGGCAGCTTCGGGATTCAGGGTCCCAGACATGTCACAAAGCCCCAGATGGGGGATGAAATAAGAACAAGGAGAGAAGGGGCGCAGGCTCCACAGGGGCCCACACCAGGCCCGCTCCCAGCAGGTGCCTTCAGAGTAAGTCAGAGCAGCCTGGAGCTGAGGCCCAGAGGAGAGGGCGCAGGTGGAAGTCCTACATGGGATTCTGGTGCCCCTCCATCCTGGCTCCCCCTGCAGAGCCCACTCCTCAGGGCTGGGGAGACCTGGATGAGGAGGGCGGTGGCTGCTCTGTAGATTTTCTCCTCTCACACCCCGGATGGAAGTTTCTCCCGGTGCCTAGATGGGTATCTGCTGGGTTTCTGTGCTCGGTCTCCCCTGGGCCCACCTCCTCCCCTCAGCACAGCCCCCCCACTTCCTGCAGGGCTGCAGTACCTGCTTCCCCAGAGCGCCCCCGCTGTGACCAGTCCTGCCCCAAGAGAAAAGAGCCTGCATGGTACATTTACAGACATGCAGCTCTGAATATGGTGGGTTAGAAAGTGACCAGCTTCCCCCAGAACTAGAAGCAAAGCTACCTGAGGGCTGCAACTACTGAGAAAATGGAGTTTGAGAAAGGCTGGGCACAGCTGGTATCCAGGGGACATGTGACTTGGGAGGGAAGGTGGAGGGGTAAGGTAGGGAATGTGCTTTTAGCCTTAATGTCTATTTAAAAAACGGGCGGGAACCAGAGCCCAGGTGTAAGGACCAGATCCCTGCCACTGGCTCAGTCTCAGCCCTCACTCTAAGCTGTGGCCGCACCCAGGGCTAGGAGAGCTCTCTGGCAGACTGACTAAGACATGCAGGACAGCAGGCAACTGTTCCCCTTAGTGTGGACTAGACGGAGGGGAGACTTCAAGCTCCTTGACTGGAGTGGCTGGGATCCCACAGACCAAGTCCTCAGTCCTTCCCATGCTCCCGCAGGGAGAAAGCCCCGTCCTTCTGGTGGCATCCAAGCCAGTGGGATCGAGGCTGCAGCCCACTCCCAGCGGCTCTTCATGCTTGGGACAGCTGGCTGGAGGGATGGACCAGATGGCGCCTCTCAGTGCAACACGAGACTGTAGACCAAGTCTTGCTTCTTTCAGGAGGTCGTCTCGGTGAGAGACCTCAGGCCACCTTCCGGCTCTCAAGGCGAGCTGTCTGCCTTCTTCACGTGGTGGAAGAGGCTACAGAAGAACTCATAGCAGAAAAACACGAGGCCGGTGGAGAGGGCAGCCTTCAGCAGGCTGGGGGACAGGCCCTTGAAGAAGCCCCGCACACCTTCCTCCCGCAGCACCTGCCTGGCGCAGTCCAGGAGGCCCTGGTAGCTTCGAACCTGAGGACAGGAAGGTGACTCGGGTTGGCGAGAGAGGTGAATACACATGGGGGCGGCTCTGTCCTTTCGTCAATGCAATGCCTGGCACATCAGAGCTCCCAATAAATACTTTCTGGATGGAGGAATGGGTGCAAAAAAGACAGAGAAAAAGCTAACCTCGTTCTTTCTCTCCCAAGTTGACGTGCCTGGAAATCGGCGCTGGACAGAGCTTCCTGCCCAGGCAGCTCCCACTGGCTGTGGCTGAGAGCTCTGGACCCTCTTCCCAGAGGCACCTGTGACCCTCCACCCCACCGTCCTCCTTAGGCAGCATGTCTGAATCTGGCCCTCATTAGCTCTCAGCCTGACCAGCCACCCCTCCAGCTGGGCCTTCTCCAGATGACCTTGCTCCCCTCCAAAGGCTCCAGTAACTCCCGACTGTGATGATGGCAGTGACATCATGAAGAACCAAGTTCAGGCTCCAAGGCCTGGTGTTCGTTTGGAACTCAACTTCCCTCTCTGCCCTGCCCTTCTCCCCCATGGGCCCCTCCCACCTCCAGTGAAGAGGACAGCTCACCTGGCCGAAGGTGACTCGGGCCTGCTCAAACCCTCTGACTTGCAGCCGCTTCTTGAAGAGGTCCAGGGGGTACGTAAGGGTCTTGCTGATGACTCCAGCTCCACTACCACAAAGCAGATTTTTGAGGTTCCCTAAACCACAAAAGTAGGATTGAGGGGGAAAATAAGAAAAATGCAATTTAGGGTAGACAACTTCAAGTTCATGAGCTCTATCTTCCACCATAAAACAAAAAGCCACAAGCATCCTTGCTCTCAGATGAACTTAATCCAGGAAGAGAGGACCAGACCCAGTCACTTCTGGCAAGAATGACAAGGGACTGCAGATTAGACAAGCAGGTGTCAGGATGGGTGTGAGCAATCACTAGTGATCTCCCTCCTCAACTGGAGGCAATAAGGGCCGTGGGCTCTGCAGTGTCACTCAGTTCAGGCTCAAGAGAGAACAGGAAGCCTAACTGGCATGACTCAGTAGTTAGAGCGTCGGCCCTTGGACTGAAGGTTCCCAGGTTCGATTCCAGCCAAGGGCACGTACCTCAGTTGCAGGCTCGATTCCCAGCCCTGGTTGGGCGCATGCAGGAGACAACCAATCAATGTGTCTCTCTCATCCACCCCCTTCCACTCTCTCTGAAAAGCAATGGAAAAAATATTCTCGGGTGAGGATTTAAAAAAAACAAAAGGGGAACAGGATGCCCCTCCTCCTGCACATCCTTCCAAAACAAAAACCAAGCAAAACACACAACCAAAAGCAGGTGGCCTGCAAGTTGGACCTCTGACCAAAATGAAAACCATGGCCAATAGTTGGAAATAAATGTCGATGATGCCACTGATGGGTGGGGCAAGAGCCTGAAGAAACAGAGGCATCTGTGAGCCGCTGCATTTCTGTGCCAGATCCAGAGACCTGGGGTGTCTAAGCTTCTGACAAGAAAACTTTATATCCTACGTGATTCAGAAAGACGTTATGGCTTGGGAGTGCGGTGGAAGGGAGCCCCCGGCTTCCTCTCTCTTGGGGGCTGTCTCACCGTTTTTCTTTCCTTCGGCTGGCGTGACCCACTCATACACGTGCTTCAGAGAGCTGTAGAAGGAGAACTGGAACCCGGCGTAGGGGAAGATGGCGATCAAAGTGGGGTTCAAGCCTTTGTAGAAGACCAAGGGGCCTTCGGTCCTGTACATGGTGGCCACGGCATCCCGCAGGGTTTTATACACCTGGACGGCACACATGCAACTCGAGTGAGCATGTGCTAGTGTCAGCTTGAGCATACAGCCCTCACGTGTGCGTCCCGCACCTATAAACCCAGCTACTAGGAGCATTAATCCTCCTGCCAAGAAGACAAAGAGCACGCGGAACAAAAATCCCAAGGGTGGGCTTTTCCAGCGACTCCCCTTCAAGCTCTTTACACGACTGATACATCCGCGTGAGTACACAAAGCATGTGTCCTTCGGAGCAGCAGACGGGACATCCACCCTCGAGTGACTGGGTGGATTATGACACACCCATTGAAAAGAACACGGGAACACAGTGTAACTGCTAAAACAGGAGGTGGCAATCTGTGTGACTGACAGGGACTAATCCCCCAAAGATCACAGCCAAGCACAGAAGAGCAGGCAGTGTTTGTGCAGGAAACAAACATATGCAGAAGTCATCGCCCCCCCAGGACACACAGGTAACAGCACACTCCTCCCGCCCTGGCCACGCCCCCTTTTCCCCCCTGAAGGTCATGATCCCCATTCTGTGTCCTCAGTATCCTGCGTGGATGGTACATTTTTTTGCTGTTCCGCACTGTGTACCTAAATTATACTTCAATAAACCTGACTGAAACAAACCAAAAAGAGCCCTTAGGAACTAACATGTGCTGGCAAACATTTAAAAAATTCAACTGAGGGCCCAGATGATAAAGGTAAGGAAACCTCCCAGAGAGAGGGAAAGACAAAGAATGCTGGGCAACAGAAGAGAAAAGCTCAGCCAATCAGAGGGTCGATCCAGGGTGTCCAACTGACATGAACTCCAGAAAGAAAGAAAATTAAAAAACAGAGGGCAGGCCATCGTGAATGAACAATTCATGACCATTTTCCAGGCACGAGGAACAGGATCATCCAGACTAAAGGGTCCAGGAAGCGCCCATCACAATGAAGAAAGGAGACTCACACCAGTGTACATTTCTAGAATACCAGGGGTTGAGAAAGATCTTGAACACTCCCAAGGTGGGGAAGGGACGAAGGGGTGATGGTTTCATATAGAGGATCAGTGATCAGAATGGTTCCAGACTTCTCTCTTCAGCAGCACTGATAGCTACCTAGAATTAATTCTATACCCAAGTCAGCAGCTAAGTGTAAGGATAAAATAAAGGCATTTTCTATCAAAACTTCTCTCAGGAAGCTACACCAAAATGAAAGAGAAGATGTGGTCTCCAACAAGAGAATTCCTAAGAGAGCAGCTGGCCAGGGTCCTAGAGCAAAGGGTCCAGACTGAAGTCAGAGTGTCAAGGGTGCCAGAGAGGGGACTCCAGGAGGGCTCCACAGTAACGTGGGACTGACGACCATGGGCAGACCCTATCGAGGGAAGGTTTAAGGGTGAATTCGTGATAAGTATGTAGAAAGCTAAACAAATAAAATACAAGGCCTTTCCTAACTTCAAGAAAAACAGAGATGAAAGAAAATGTATTTTAAGGCTCAGCAGTAACATCTACGTAATCGTAATAGCATAAACACTGAGTTGATTTAGCCAAAATCTGGTCAGTTGTACTGTAATCAGATGAGGGAGGAAACTCGAGCATACACGAGGGTGATGGCGAAAGAGCCAAACCTTCACCTTCCTAGCAGCCGTCAGTAGCCAACGCCTACAAATAAGGACGGGCGGATGGAGGGGCAGAAGGAAGAGGAAAGGAAGACAGAGAAGAGAGAAACAGCGGCTTAAGCATGTTACATAGAAAAAGTAAATAATGGCCGGGCCACTCACCCTGGGCTCACCCTGAGCTGCAAAGCGGGTGCGCAGGACATCCACGGGGTGCACGGCGAGGGTGGCCACACAGGCAGACAGGCCGCCACACACGAAGTGCACGGAGAAGTCGCGGGCATCGTGTGTGCTGGCTCTGTGCACCAGCTCAGTCAGCATTTCAAATGACAAAAACTGCAAGAGCACGTGACAAGGTTATCGGCGAGCACCCAGATATGCCATCTATGACCCATAACCCAGGTGGGGCCCAGTCCTAGGGACAAGAAGAGAGTCCTCCTGAGCAGTGACAGAATATAACAAACACAATTTTGTGCAACTCAGATGCCATTTTACACTCTACTGCTCTATTGGAGTTGAGTCAAATATTCAAAGGGTTAAGAAAATATATGAGAAAAATTTTATATCAGAAAATTCTACTCATTAACTTAGTTTCCTGAGACCTGGGCAAAGGCGGCCATTGTCTGATCCTCAGCAGGGGACCCTTCCAGTGCAGCAGGCAGCGACACTGAGAAGCATTCTGCCTCGGAGCAGGGATTCTGTCAGGAGAGTTCCACATATTCCAAATTCCACGGTGCTACCCCCTTATGCTCAGATCTCCCTCCAGCCAAAGCAAGACAGCTCGGGGTCCTGGGAGCCCAAGTCACTACGTGCCAGGTGCGGAGATGGGATGGCAGGGCACTCCAACCAGGCGCCTGACCTGAGCAATGGCTGTGATGTCGCAGGAAGAGCAGGCAGGGACTACTCTGGTGCTAGCTGTCCAGGTGGGAATCCTGGCTCTGCTACTTTCTACCTACTAACTTTGGTTGCGTTAATTACTTAAGCTCTCTCTGCCTCACTCTTCTTGTCTGTAAAACAGGACTGACAACAGAACCTATCTCAAAGGACTGCGATGAGGTAACAGACGTAAAATGCTTGCAACAGGGCCTGGCCCGCAGTTAGCACTGGACAGGGGTTTACACTGTGTGTTACACACTCTGAGATGAACCGGCGCTTAGCTGAAGAATGAACAAGTCAAGAAGCTGGGTTCTAATCCCAACCCCACCACTTACAGGCTGTGTGACCTCGGGCAGCTTACTTAACCTCTGTGATCCACAGAACATTTGCTCTACGCTCCTCACAATGCTTTTGGGAAGTTCAGAGGAAGCACAGACATGAAAATGCTATTTCGAAAAATGAGAAGCATTGTGTCACCATCTGCCAAGTCCCATTGTGGGTGTGGTGTCAAAATAGTCTCCCAGGTGCAACACCTAATGTTCAGTCGGTGCTCAGTCCCTGGGGTGGGGGTGGGGGCGGTGGGAGAGAATGCCTACAGTACAGCTCAGTCTGACTCGGTCTGTCCGTCAGGTAGGTTCCCAGTGGAGACACGTGAGAAGTGTGATGATCAGCTCCTGCTGCCGGACCCCAGGCAGCGTCCCTGCGCTGCTGCATTGAGCAACCCGACACGAGGTGCCTAGTGGTTCTCCTGCCACCTACTTGGACAGCTCCATAGCCTATGGAGAGGAGCTGGGCTGGAATGTGTCCCTTCCAGAATGCCGTCGGGCCCTCCTCCCGCAGAATCTGTCTTCCGGCCTGCAGGATCCCATGGTACTTCGCACTGGGGTCACTGCGAGACAGGCGCTCAATCTGAAGCTAGGAATGAAAATCGGATGGTCGGGAAAACGGGCTGGGGCTGGGCGAAGAGGAAAAATTCCAGTCAAGGTAGTGAAGGCAAAGTGCTTCTCTACAAGATGTCAAGCTCTTAGGAAATGCTCTGGCAAGAAAGCGTGAACTTGTCCTCCAGTCTGTCCATCACATGGAAAAAGGGGGAAAGGGTACCTGGAAACGGATCTTGATGACGTCCAAGGGGCTGACCAGTGCCCGAGTGACGAGTCCAGACACAGACCCAGCCACGGCCACCTCGAATTTGGAGATATTCCTGTCATCAGCTTTGGGGTCATAGCCGACCATCCCTGCCTCTGGCCCATACACTGTCCATCAGCTTCGAGCTAAATGCAAAAAAACAGGAGTAAACACCAGAGTAAGTTCTCAGGGTCTCTGCTCACACATCATCTCCTCAGAGCAGCGCTCCCTGACCACCCATCTAAAAGTGCGCCTCCCTTGGATTCAGCATAGAACAGAGAAAATATCTTTATAGGTCTGGATTTCTGCCCTGCTTAGATTTTAAAAGTACAAGCATGGATTGCCAATTCCACTTGATGTAAACAAAACTTTTTATACATTATATAGGGTGGGCGAAATTGTCCCTGATTGAGAACCATCGTTGTAGAGGGGTTTTACACACTAGCATCACTGTTTATAAAACTGGATATGGCACAAATGCTTATCAATAGAGGGATGGATAAATACACCAAGTCATATCCATGAGATGGCATACTATGCAGCCATTAAAAAGAATGAGCCAGTGCTATACACACTTGAAAAGATGTCCACGATAGAGTGAAACATGAAAAAAAAGTAGGTTTCAGAATAGTATGTCTAACCCCATTTTTGCAAAAAGGAAAACAGCAAGACCTAGACACACTCTGTACAGTTGTATAATGCATGGGGGGAAAGTCTGTGACAACGCCC